AAGTATACTTGATATGATTGGGAGATGATGTCTCATCAGAGGTCACCTAAACCAGTAAGATAGCATGTTCAAAGTGTTGTCAATCATAATTGTTATATCTATCACAATTTCTTTTAAAAACAATGTCAAAATAAAGAAACCTCAGATAAATAAAACATGAAAACATTCATTACCAAGAAATGCTGAAGAAAGTTCACCTAAAAATGAAAGGAGACTAGGTAATGAATCAAATCAACCTTAAGAAATAAAGAACACTGGTTTATAAAGAGCTATGTAAATATATTTTCAGCTTATAATTCTAATTTTCTTCTATATTATTTAAAAGATTGCTCCAATAAGCAACACTTACAAATCTGTATTGGTGAAAAATACAATGTATCAATGTATGACAATACAAACTCAAAAGAAGGGAAAGAAGTTGAGCTATACAAAGAGAATATAATTTTTGTATGTCCATGAAATTAAACTCATATCTATCTAAACAAGTCTAGTGTATTTTAAGATGTTAATTGTAATCTATAGGACAGTCACTAATAGCTCAAAATGCGCAGTGAGACAATTACAAGCAAAGACTTCCATCATGTCCAACCGAATGGCATCAGCAAGAGCTAGAACCTCCAAGATGTACACCAGGGAAATACAGGTACGCTGAAACGGGATCAGCAAAGAAAGGTAGATACAAGAAGAGACACAGGACAGACTCATCTGATCCAAATCCAGCACTGCAGTGTGGGGGGCTTAGAAAAAGAAGCTGAGCTGTTCTTGGCCTGCAGCATCCCTTATACCCCAGGTCTACATCCCTACATCTTGGGAGAGAGTTGAATGTCCTGAGGTGGGAAGCCTGCACTCCACCAGTGTCCAGGCTGCTGAAATTAGCTCCTAACCTTTTTTATCCTTCCTACCAGGAAAACAAACACAATAAGAGATATATTTGCAAACCAGGGCATCAGAGAAACTGAAACCCTCTAAGTAGTGTCTGAGCAAGCACCAGTGAGCCCTTGGGGAAAACAAGCACATGATCCTAAATAGGGACCTGGAAGTATGCAGTGGGAAAACCACAGCTTTAGGGCCATGTAATCTGGCAGTGTTTGTGAACAGTGAAACCCTGGAAGGAGAGGACACCAGGTTGGTCCAGGAATAGGAACTTACCCAGGCTTCTCCCAAACATCAGGAGTGTTGTGCCCAAGGGAGGTCCTGTTCTCTCCCTACCACACTGTCAGTTACCACAGAGGAGTCCCCGCCACCCCTAACTGAAGTTCCTGAAGATCCCTTCAGTTTGTGAACTTGGGAGTAACACTTTGGGGGAGGGTGAATAGGGAAGGGTCAAAGGCCGTAGAGAATGCTGCCCTGGACAGAGGGTGTTCACTACTCTGCTTAGCCGAAAGCTTATGATGGGAGAATGCAGAAGCAGCTAAGAGACTGCTGCGCAAGGAAGACAGTGGGTGTGGAGAGGACCCTGGTACAAGTTGACAAACAACTGGGTGCTGAGCCAATTCTACTGCTCTCTCTCCTCCTCAGATTTTCTGAGGGGGTCAAATCTTGGGACAGAGCAAAGGCCTACAGTTAGCCATGCTAAAAGACAGGCTTACAGTAGGGAGGAAGGCTCAGAGGACCATTCAGATTGACAAATCTCCCAGCTTACAGTGAGGCAATTGAGCAGGTCATGGGACAGCCTGGAGATGTGCAGTAGCACATGGCATGCTGTGGGCTGACAAGGGTGAGGAGAAGAAGTAACTGCTTGTACAGTTGTGCTCCAAGGAGGGCAGAGGAGCAGAAAAGACCCAGGCTCAGGAATCCATCCAGACACCCACTACAGGGCACAGATTCCTCTCAGGTGAACCTGGGGAGAAATAGACTCACTCTTTGGACTCAGACTGCAATATAAATGGGATTGTGTGGACGTTTTAATTTTGTGTTTTTGTAGCTTTTGGGGGAGGTTGTTGTTGTTTGCCTTTTTTTCTTTTTCCCTCTTTTTCTTTAAATTCCCACTATTTCTGTCCTCTTTTCATCATATATACTATATATAGTATATATAGTATATATGATGAAAAGGAGATAATAAATAACAAGCAGTTTAAGTAGTATGTCTCAGGAACAAGTCGGGAATCCTCACCCAAACTGTACAGAGAACATCCGACCACAACTATCAAGCTACTAAGAGCTCACAGCTGCGCTCAATCTCCAGTGCATTTGCTTGCCTCTGCTTCTGGTCTCTCACACCCACAGATGTCCTAATAAACCTGCTTAACACCTAGCTTTCCAGTCCAGCTTTAAAAGCAATTCTGGCAAAGTTTGATTTGTCTGTGTTACATCTGTTCACATTTCTCTTCTCTTGTCTTCTTACCGATTTACCCCTTTCTCAGTTTTCTTTTCTGTTTTTCTTCCTCCCACCACTTACGGTCTTCCAGTCTACTTGTAAGCAGCAGTAATTTCCAGCCTGTATGGGGCATTGTGCACTGGCAGGAGAACAGACATATAGATCAGTGGGACAGAATAGAGGATGCAGAAACAGCCCCAAGCAAGTGCAGGCTTCTCATATTTGCCAGAGGGGCCAAAAGCATATGCTGGAGGAAAGACTGCCTCGTCAACAAAGGGTGTTAGGAAAACTGTTTACTCACACACAGAAGATTGAATCTAGACCCATACTCTCACCATGTGTGAAACTAAAATCAAGATGGATCGAAGACCTAGATATTCAACAGAAACACACCTTTTGGAATATAATATAGATAAAGAACTCATAGTTATATGCAAGTACTTCCTGAATAGAAATTACACAAGAAATATCATAAAAAATTAACAAGTGGAATTTAATAAAATTAAAATTTCCTGCACAGCAAAGAAAATGATTAACAAAGTGAAGAGACAACTTACAGAATGAGAAAAATGTTTTGTCAGCTACTGCTCAGACAGAGGACTGACATCTAGAATTTAATCCTAAAAATTTAAACATTCTAAAATGAAAGACCCAATGAAAAAATGGGCCACTAAAATGAATAGGCCTCTTTAAGAAGAATATTTGCAAATGGCCAAGTACATGAAAATAATGTTGAACATCTTTGGTCTCTAGATAAATGCAAATTAAAACAACACAGATTCCATCTTACTCCAGAAAAAGTATCATCCAGCACTCAAAAACAACAAATGGCCAGGCGTGGTGGCACACACTTGCAATCCCAGCATTCGGAAGGCTGAGGCAGGAGGATTGTTGCGAGTTTGAGACCAGCCTGGACTACAAAGTGAGCTCAAGGCCAGCCTGAACTGCATAGTGAGACCCTGTCTCAAAAAGACCAAAAAAAAACCCAAAAAAAAACCAAAACAAAAAAAAACAAAAAACAAAAAGCAACAACAAATGTTGATAAGGCTGAGGGGAATAAGGAACACATACATGACTGGTGTGAGTGTGAACTCATACAACCATGATGGAAATCCATATGGAGATTCCTCAAAAAACTAAAATTAGAAATTCCTCTCAACCCAGCTATTCCCACTCTAAGTATCTTCATAAAAGAGGTAAAGACACCATTTTACAGTAGTACACGCATACCCATGTTTATAGCAGCACATTTCAAAATAGCTAAATATTGGAAGTGGTCTGTATGTCCATTAACAGAGAAATGGGTAAATAAAAAGTGGTATATATGCAATAGACTAGTACTCAACCATAAAGAAGAATAAATTTGACCCATTTTTCTGAAAATGAATGCACCACAATTCTTGATAAAATAAATCAGACACAGAAGCTTAAATATCACATGGTTTCTCTCATACAAGAAACTCAAATCATACATAATTTAAAGAGCAAAATAAAAGATAAATAATAGGAAAGGGGAAAGAGACCTTTTGCAAATGGAAAGGGGATCTAGAAATGGAGGGAAAAGGGAAAGAAAAGAGGGAAAAGGGAAGTAAAATTACCATGTAATATGTACATGTACCAACTCTCCAGAATAAATGTATTCATTAGGTGCCACAAACATACATTTAATAAAGAATGACAAGGAAATTAAAACTAAAAATATCTGTTTAACATAAAAGAAGACAGAAATGGAAATATGTGAAGACAAAAAAGACATAGAAAACAAAATGGCAGAGATAAATTTTCCCTTATCAGTCAAAATATTAAATGTAATTGAATTAAACTCTCCAGTTAAAGGACAGAAATTGGCAGAATGAACTTAAAAGGCATATCTAATTATATTCTATCTATAAAATATATACTTCTGAAGCCAGGTGTGGTGGTGCATGCCTGTAATCCCAGGACTTGGGAGGCTGAGGCAGGAGGATCATTGCTAGTTCGAGGCCAGCCTGGGCTACAAAGTGAGTTCAAGACCAGCCTGGACTGCATAGTGAGACCCTGTCTCAAAAAGACAACAAAATTATATTTCTGATTCAAAAACACAAATATATTAAAAGCAAAAGGAGGGAAAAGATATGCTGTTCAAGCAGCAACTAAAATAGAGCTGGAGTGGCTGTATTAATATCAGACAAATATTTTATTTTTGGTTGTATATCCTGAAACCTTGTTAAATTAGGTTTTAAAGCTATGATAGCTTCTTTTAGAAGTGTGTAGGATTTTCTGCATATATGATCATTGCAGCTAAAATAATGACACTTTTACTCTTTATCTTCCAATCTGGTTGGCTTTTGCTTCTTCCTATTTTTTAGCTTTTCTTGGCTTAACTTCTCTGGCTAAAATACCAAGTACCATATTGAATAGTGGAAGGTGCTGTCACTTTGCCTTTTTTCTAATTTTGATAAAAGCTTTTCAGTTTTCACCATTTTGTGTAATTCTGTGTAATTCATAGATACATTTTATTAGGTTGTGGAAGTTCCTTTTTTCTAGTTTATTAAGTTGTTGTTTATCATGAAAATCTGCTGGGTTTTGTTAAGCATTACAGTATTTGTTGAGTGAAATATACTGATTTTATATTTTCTTGTTAATAGGCTAAAAGGGAGCTTTCATTATAGCAATAGTTGCCTACCCATGTGCCAGACATTTAGCTGATTTGCTCCAATGAGGACATCACTTCCTGGTGAGCAATTGAAATCACAATCTGAATAAAGTTAGGATAATTTACCACTGTTCTTCATGATTTATCTATTTTCTCACATAACAAATAGGAAGGCTGATTAGATAAATAATAAGAATCACCAGTTTTACATTCTAAAAGTCTTTACTGAAAATATTAGCATATGAAGCTCACTCAGGGATGTCATAATGATTTTGGTTTGAGATTTTATAAAGGAGATACTTCAAAAGATTAATGTGAGCCTCATCTGATATAATAGGCTTTATTGGTGCATTAGGGAGTGCATATGAAGACTTTGCCTGTGGCTAAGATTGTTTACTCCAAAAAGGCATTTTCCACTCAGAAACTGGAAAAATAGTTTCAAAATAGGGATGTGTCTAACAAAGCCTATTGTAGATATGGTTTTGGGCCAAACTTCTACTCCCTAACTACAGACCTCTTTCTCTGTAACTTCCCCTCTCCTCATACGTATGTCCTTGGGAGTTAGTATAGGTACAGGTATTCTCAACAAGAATAAGCAGTAATATTTGTAGCTTATATTGGCAGAAAGCCTTGGAAAGAAGTTAAATACAGGATGTCAAAACTCACTCTAGACTGTTGTGATAGATTTACATGCCAGAGCTTTAAAGTCTGGTCACTGAGATTTTTCTGTAGATGTTCTATAATTTTATGAACATTTAAGGATGTTTCTTCCTCAGTGTCATTTAAAGATCCTAACTGAGGAAAGTAGTTGGAAGATTCCCTGATACTAGTTATACTATTGCATGGTACTTTCTCAAATTTACTAGTTCTTCCTATCAGTTATGAAGGATTTGCAGAAAAGCTATGACTCTATATCTTAGGAACTCACCTTAGAATTTTGTTTACTAGAATTGTATGTTTCAGATGTTATCCTTACACAAGATTGATTAATACTTATTAAGATGGCCAAATGTTCTGAGTCCCAGGACTCCCACAACAAATTATCTAACACCAGAAATGCATTTATGTGTTTGTTATTACAGTTATGTGTCAAATATTAAAAGGCCATATCACCCTAGCATCTTCCAGCTCCCTTTAAACATCCCCTATCTACAGGGACAGTCAAAATGATTCGGATGTCCTCTAAATTCTGTATCTTTTTCGTGATGTTAGTTAAGACAGTATTTTCTGCTCTTTGTAGGATACATCTGAGTCACATGATAAACCTGAAAATCTTTTTTTAAAATCAACTTATTTAGGTAAAATTGCATATAAGCAAATTGGTCATTTTAAGGTCAAAGCCTTTTGACAAATGTTCACGTCCATGTAATCACCATCAAAATCAAAGTATAAAACATTCACATTTCCCAAGGAAATTCTTTTGTTCTCCACTAGAATTACTCTCACCATCTCTAGGAAACTTCTGATCTTATTTTTATCAAAGTTTATGACTTGTATCAATTTAAAGTTTCCATATGAATGCACTCATACATGTGTACCATTGTGGATGGCTTCTATTTAGCATCAGAATGCTTTTAAGATATAACTATTTGAAGGACATATCAATAATTTATTCTCTTACATGCCAATGATACCTTATATAAATATAACATCATTTGTTTATCTATTTACCCACTGATTGCATATGTATTATTTCCAGTTTGGAACTGTAATGAAGTTTCTTCAAACCTTCTTATTTACATGTATATGTGTTTCTACGAATATATATTGTTTTGTAGTCTTCGCTACATGGAAGTTTGACTTGAATGTTTAGAGTGATAGTGTTATACATGCATACTGAGAAGGTATGATAAGATTTATTACTCATGTAGTGAAACTTTCTTCGGGAAGAAGGAAAAACACACCACTGGTCCAAAAGAGTGGTGAAGGCTCTGGTTTTTATTGTGAATAGGGCATGGAACAAAGGTGAATGCTCCAATTAGGGGAAGCTTGTGTGGTCAGAACTTGTCCTCTGGTGCCCAAAGAGATTTGCCCAGGTTGACCCTGATAGGGGCAATAGGAAAAGGAGGAGAGGCGGGACTTGAAAGATGTCAGTGGTGAAGCATAAACAAATGGCGTCAGGGTCTTTAAATTGCTGTCTGATTTCCTTTACAATGTCTTTTGAGTAGCAGGTTTTAAGTTCAATTTATTGATGTTTAAGACTAATATTTTTTATATACTAAGAAATATTTGCTAAAATGTCTCAAATTTTTTCTTGTTTCATTGTAGGTGTTTTATAGTTTTAACTTTTCCATTTAGTTCTACAATCTGTTTTGAATTAATTTTAGTTTACAGTATGAGGTAAGGATTAAGGTTATTCCTTTTTTAAAAAAATACAGACAAGCAGTTGTTCCAATGCCATTTGTTTTTAAAAATTCATTTGCAATTTGATATCCTTAGCAGTTTTGTAGAAAATTAATTGACCAAAAATACAAGTCTACCTATACCGTTTATCATATTTTAACAATGCAGATGTATATCGTTATATCTATATTGTAGTCTTGACTCATGAAGCTTTAGAGCATGATGCGCAATCAGGTAGGGAAAGTTTCAAACCTCGCTCATTTTTGACTCTGTTTTAACTATCTAGGTTCTGTACGTTTCTATATGAATTTTAGAATCAGTCTGTCAAATCCTGCCCCCAAAATTATTGTGATATGAGTGAGGACTGCATTGAAGCTATAGTATAATTTTCTTTGGGCATTTTGTGCTTAGAGTTTGTTGAGTTTCTTACATATGCAGAATTGCAATTTTTAACATATTTGGACAAAATTGAACCATTTTTTTCTTGAATAGTTTTTTCAGTCTTTCTCTTTCGCATCTCTCCTTCAGGAGCTACTATTTCAGTATATTTTGCTGCTTGAAGTTTCCCAATAGTTCACTGATGCCCTGCAATTTTTTAAATTCTTTGTTCTGAAGTTTATATTTGACAGGGCTTACTATATCTGTAAGTCACTAATCCATAATATATTATCTGCAATCAATCCTATCTAGTGTACTTTTCATCTCACCTATTTTAGCTTTCATTTGTAGAAGTTCTACTTGAGGATGTGCTATCTCATTCATGTCTTTACCTAATATATTCAATGCTCTTTCAGTTTCATGAACACACAGATAGATGTAACTAGCAGTGTTTCTGCTTTTATTTCATTTATGCTATTTCTGGATTACTTTTTATTGTTGTTGGTGGTTTTTTTTTGGAACTGAGAATTGAACTCAGGACCTTGTGCATACCAGGCAGGCACTTGTGTCACTGAGCTATATCCCTGACTCTCTGGATTACTTTTAATTACTTATTTTTTTTCCTCATTATGGATTGTATTTTTCTATTCTTTTCATGTTTGGTAATTTTTGGTTGTTTAGCAGATGTTTTTAATTTCACCTTTTCATGTGTTAGCTATTTTATATTCTTATAATTATTATTGAACTTTGTTTAGGGGTGGGATCAGAGTACTTGAAAACTGAAACTTTCATTTCTTGCTTTAAAGCTTTGTGGGGTGAGATGGGACTGGATCTGTATTTAGTTTAAGGTTAATTTTCCACACTACTGATCCATGACTCTTCCTAGTACTCGAACAGATGGCTCCCAAAGTATGAAGTGTCCCATTCTGGTTGTTGGCAGTAGGAGCCCTTTTCTACTCTGTGTTCAATCTGAGCACTGTTGTCTATATTCCCTTAGGTTGGTTCTGTTCCTGGCCTTTCCTCACATGCATTCTCTGACCTGTCCTTGGCAAAAGACTTGAGGGGGCTATATGCAATTCTCTGGCACTTTCCCTCTATGCAATTTTTTTTACTGCTGTCACTCTATCCTTTGTGAACTATAGCTTCTTCTGCTTCTCCAAACAGCTACTTCCATCTCCTCAGCTCAGAATAACTTCTGAGCTCTTCCTCGCTTCCTCCTCTGCATTACCACTCATTCATTCCCTCTGGACAGTGAGCTGAGCATCACTGTGCTCACCTCATTTGTTTGCCATCTTACAAGCATGATAGTCCTTTGCTACATGATGTCTAATATCCTATCATTGTTTAATCTATTTTGTCTGGTGTTTGGAGATTTTGAATTGGAAGGTTATATTTGGGCCTTGATACTCCATCTTGATTAGAAACAGGGAGATTTTATTTTTTAATTTATAATTCCTTTTTATTTTAAAGAGAAAAAAACCAATTAAAACAATGCTAGTTTCAAAACAAGATAATAGGAGATTGACAGTAGTTAATAAATTGTGTAATGTTACCTTAGGCATGAAAGATTAATCAAACAATATAAGCACAAACCATTCTTTTTAATGAACTAATAGTGATTAGCAGTATCTTTATCTTAGTTATTGTGTTTGTGTATATATATATATATATATGTCTCCTTTTCCCTTCCTTCTTTCCTCCTTTTCCCCATGATAGTTCTTCTATTTTGAGCAGTTTCTTCCCCCTTTAATAATATCTATTGTAAATTTTGGATTTTATTTACTCTTTCAGTCTTTTAAATAAGGGAGACAATATGATGTTTACACATGTGAGGCTGATTTATTTCACTTATGAATATGTTTTCAAGTTGTATCCATTTACCTATAAAAGCCTCAAGTTTATCCTTCTTTATAGCTCAGTAGTACTCCATTGTATAAATATACCACATCTTTTTTTATCCATTCCTCAGTTCATGGGCATTGAGGTTATTTCCAAGATTTAGCTATTCCAAGTTGTGCTGCTATAAACATGGGTGCACCTATATTGCTGTGGTACGATGTTTTTAAAACTTCTGGGAAAATACCCAGAATGGGAATAGCTGGGTAAAATGGGACCTTTAATCCTAGTTTTGGATGAATCTCCACACTGATTTCCACAGTGACTGCACCAGTCTACACTCCCACTAACAGTGGAGAAGGGATCTTTTTCTCTCCAGCCCCTCCAGCATTTGTTATTGGTTGATTTTTCTGATGACAGTCATTCTTTCCTGAGTGAGATGGAATCTCATTTTTGTTTTAATTTGCATCTCTTAAATGACAAATGCTGTTGAACATTTTTTAATATATTATTTTATGTTTGCA